TTATGTGCTTTTTTTTCGGTAATTTAAATAAAAATAGACCTCACATAAAAAATACAAAGTAAATATTTTCTCAGTAAACGTTGGCTCAGTTAAATGTGATTTAAATATGTAATACAAAATGATAATAAGATTGAAATAATAAATATACCCCCTACTGTGTAAATCGGTTTATAAATGTAGCTCGTGCTTAACATGATAAAAATTTGCAACTGGAACAATGCTTATAATAAAACAAAACCTCGCTTATATATTGTACCAAACCAAACAAAAATAAAATAAAAATATATTAGTATAAATATGTAGACAGTGTACATGAAACACGAAGTACACGAACAAGCCGACAAAAAAACTAAATTGAAATATAACACCGCATCAGAAATCTGCCGTAGGTAAGCCAAGCTTCTATTTTTATTAATGTGAAAGTTTGTTTAGATAAAAAAGAAGAAGAAAGAAGAAATAGTTTCTTTTTATTCAATTCAAATTTGGTTGTTTTTTTCAGATGGATCATGGAAGTGGTACAGATATTTTATGTAAGTCAGAGATCGATTGTTAAGATCAGAGACACAATCTCTGCTCGCTCTGGCACATCACGATGAAGATTTAATGCTCGCTGTATAAATCGAGAGTACGATAAACGGTAATATATATAAAACGTCCGTATGTTGAGATTTCAAACAATGGTTCGTCTTTTTTTTTTTTTTTTTTGGGAATAAAAATTACATAGTATTTAATATTTATTTTGACCATTTTAGGCCGGATCATCAAAATGACACAGGCTATTTATTATTCCGCTTAGATTCTAGTCTTTAATGTTAAAAATTTTTTTCTGTGGGGTCTTGTAATAAATAATTACGAAAATATTCACTGGATTATTTGCTTGTAAAAATGTCTAAGTGATTAACTTTGAAAATTTGGTGAAATTAAAGGAGTGATAAGCTAAGAAGTAAGTAAGCCGATGATTTCTGCTCATTAATCGGAACAGAACGATTTTTGCGATTTTTTTAGAGGATTTATGTTAAAAAAAAAATTTGGAAATCTTAAAGTGTACGAATTTTAATGCGCAATTGAATTTTTGAAAAAATTTTAAAAATCATAGTTGATAGAGTAAAGTAGGAAAAAAGGAAATATATTGTTACACGGGAAAAAATTTCTGGGAAAATTTACGATACAACTATTGTAAAGCTGGACTATACCTTTATTACTATTAATTATCAAATATTTTAGAAGAAAAAATACTATTTATTAATGAAAAAATACGATATTACTATTGTAAAAAGTAAGAGATGAAAATTTCCAGTGCTGCCTCTGTATCTTTCCAATAGAACTATAGCAAATTTTACAATAGTTGAATTGGAATGTCTCTCAATTAGTGTGAGTGATGGCCGTGCACAGCGCTAGACTCTGAGTTTATATAAATGTTATAAATTAAAGGACATGGGTCTTAGTTTACTGCGGGTAGCCTAAAGGGAGAGTCTCTGGCTACCAACACAGAATCCTGGGTTCGATTCCCAGACAGCACGAAATTATTTGTTTCTTTTTTCGATTACTGTACAGGTACCAATTCGTGCAACCTTCTATCTCTCTCCCTCCCTAATATTTCTTTTAAAAAAACCAACTGTGAATTTTTACAATAGTTGAATTGTAAAGTTCACAAACACATATTGTATAATTTGCTCTATAGTATTCGACTTTTTAAAACTCTTGCTAGTCTTATTTGTTGGATAAAATTAACAATAGTAGATCGTAAAAATTACTAAATGAGAAGTAAAGTCCACCGTTACTATTTTATTTAGTAAAAATTACAATAATAAAATAGTAATAACTCCTTCAATTTTCTACCCGTGTATAAGATCAAACGAAATTTTTCATGTGCAGTCATTTTTTTTTTTATAAAATATTTTGATCTTATTTCAACTCCAATGAATATTCATCTAGTCAATGTGATTTTAATATAGTTATGCGTTGGAAAATTCGCAAATAATTCTCTGGAGACTTCTTGAGCGGTACATTTCCGTTGCTGCTAAGAGTTGAAACAACTGAGACCATAATGGATTAAAAGTATGTCGCATGGTGCTTAAGTAACGGAATTTCGTCGTACTTCTCTGTTGTTTTAAGTGAACTGCTCGACTTCTATACTTTAAAGTAATACGCGCTTAATCTAATAATTACATTGACAAAGAAAATTGCAATAGCTTTTACTGAAAATAAAAAAATAATAAGAATCTTATTAAACTTAAAATATCATCTTAAAACGCTATTGGAATATTAGAATCAATATATAATTCAATATAATGTTTCTAAATATTTTTTTTAACTGCAATACTGGAGTCAACCTAAATATTTGTTGAAATCATAAAATCAGTAAACCTCTAGTGGTTTATGCTAATTTTTTTTTTTTATTCAATAAAAACTTCATATAAAAATGAAATTTGTTAGATCTTATAATTACCAAAATAATGTTGTAAAACATTTTTTTTAAACATTTAAATTTATAATACGTTCAATGATTTATTAAATCTTAAAATTAAAAAATTTACGAAAATACACTCAGTTTTAAAAAATTAAAAAAACTTTCGATAGCTCATATTTGTCAGATAAAATGAGAAATTAGTTTTGTGAAAATTATTTTCCATATTATTAATTTATTCAATAACATAGATTACATATTTCAAAACTATTAAACTTTATAACCACTAACTCAACTTCTAAAGTAAAATTTTAATGTTATCGTTTATCTTTAATTATCATAGGAAAATTTTTGAAGAATGTCTAGAAGCCTCGATTTAAAATAAAGATTAAATTTATCTATAAAGCATAAAAAGTTATTCTGAACAATAATTCAATTTAAACTTTATCAAAAACTAAAGTTTCTTGTACTATAACTTCTAAGTAGTTGAATTAAAGCAAATTAAATAGATATCGTTGTTACAATGGAATTTTAAAATTCAAAAACGCTCAAAAGAAACTTTAACCTAATATTAAAGAATTTAATTAAATTAAATCAGTTAATTTACAAGAGTTATCGAAAAATTGAATTGATAATTTTATTTTGGTGATTAGCTGTAGGGTAAACCGTCCAGTCCGTGACCGCCCACCAATGAATGACCGGTAATGAAAATAATGATTATAGAAATCCAAAAATTTAGTTAACAGTCAATGCTCAATCATAATTGTAATCTTACATATATTTTTCAATATTTAATTACCACGAATTAAAATAATTTAAAAGTGTATTTTCAAAATTCATCAAAATTATATCGAGAATCCGAGAATTTCTAGAAAACCATAAAATTTTGACTAAAGCCTGTGAAAACGGCTGCTTAGAAAACTATGAATTTTAATTATAAATAATTAATCTTTGTCTAAAATACAAAATTTATAGACATTTGTGTAGATAAACTAATATTAAAATTGACCTATGATGGATATAATTCAACTTAATAATTTATTAATATTAATTTAACGTCGGTCATTCACTGGCTTATTTAATAAGTATACTCTAGTTATTTTCTGTCAGTTGATAAAACAAAATCCTTTACTATGACTATGCGTCCTCCAGAAGGTTGAACTAAAAAAAAACAAAATATTTTTTTGTCTGTTATGGGCGGATCATTAAGCACCAAGTTTTTTTTTATCTTAGATAATGATGCTTGTTGTTATTAATAATATTATTAATAGCTTTAAACAATTACCATTATATCTTCATCAATTAAGTGGTTGTCAAAATAAATATATATGAAAATAATTCATTTTGTAATATTTACATTCAATGTGGATATGCGAATGTTTAAACAAAAACATTCGCTCAAATATTTATGATATATAAGAAAGAAAGGCCATTCCTGTATCTATAATATAGCGTTCGAGATATTACAAAAATGAAATTCAAAAACTGTAAAAATCACAAAATTTTCAATTTGCATATTTTTTGAAAATATTTTTTTTTATTTTTTTTTCTTTTGACAGAACTTTGACAGAAAGGGATCGATCTGACATGGAATGGCCCAGGAGTTAAACAAATGTTACAGAAAAATAAGGCGGCTCGGATTTGTTAATTGTTGAAATAAAAAAAAATGTTTTCAAATTATAATTATAATTAGTTATGCCTGCGCTATTTATTGCAAGAACTTCTGAGATCAAATTGAAGAGTTTGGGCAAAAAAAAACCTGTGTAAATGAATTATTGAGTAAAAGATATTATGTGTTATCGGATGCCTGTGTAATAGAAATTCTGTATCATTGAAACTCTGGGTAAAAGATGCACTGATGTATCATAGAAATCTGGGTAAACGAATTCTGGGTAAAAGAATTGTGTCCAATACTAGGTCTGGGCAATTGGATTATGGGTCATTGATGTCCACCCTATTTTTAATCTGAGTATGAATGTATAAAAATAATAAAATTGTCACAGTAACAGAATAACAACGATAAGAAGATCAAGGAAGGATAAAATTGTTTACAGTTACAGATCTGTTTGGAAAAGGACAATCGAAACACATTAAAGCGTTTTAGGTTAAATCCGAGCATATAAATTTATATTTATACATATTTAAATTTTACGAGGATATTCTGGCACAAGAGTAATGTATAAGACTGAAATGTAGTGTCGTGTAATGTAATGTAATATAATGTATTATAAGCACAAGAATAAGTTTAAAAGATTGTACAAAGGTAAAAGTAAGACGGCGTATATTCAAACAGCGTGATGTTGGGAACGTAGCGCTAAGATACATTCTTTACCATTTTTGGACGAGAATCAACCCTCATCGTGTCCCCAAGACTTAGGTCTTAAGTCTTAAGTCTTAACTCTTTTGCGACACGAATAAACCAGAAAAGATGTGAACCAGTGACGTTACACGTGGGGGTTTTATTTACGACTCGTCGTTTTACTTATTCTCAACATTTGCTTATTTTAGTAATTCTTTTCTTCTTTTACTTTTACTTTTTTTTTTTTCAAGATTGGACATGCTGAAAAGGTGATATTAATTGTTCTGCACTTACCCGGGAGACTGAGGCGCCCAAACCAGCCTGGCAGTATCCTTGTCGGTGGTATCCGAAATTTCCTGAAAATATCAAGTAATAAAGTTATTTTATTATTAATTAATTCGTTATTTATTTTTGGGTAATTGGAGGCATAAATTTCGAGATAATTAGTGTGGCTATAAATACTGGGGATTTATGCCGATGAAGAAAGTTTTATTATTTTTAAGTATAATTGCTAATTAGTGTCTTCATTTAAATTTACAAAATTTATAGTATGAGTTTTTAATTTAAAGTGTAGTTTTAATTAGTATATTAACTCTTTTTCGGTCAATATTTGTTTCTTTATTTTTTTATGAATCTAAGTTTATAGAAAATACCTTATGAATACATTAATTATATTTTTGATATAAAATATGAAATATCATTTTTTTATACCATGGTATAGTTATTTCGACAATTTACGTCAATTACTTTTCCAATATATTATTGTTATTATTATTAAAAAAAATTAAAAAAAAAATAATAATAATAAATTCAAGCGGCATGATGGCCGAGCGGACTGTCATTATTCCCGTTAGTTCGTTCGTGCATCTTGTCGTGAGGCGAGGGTTCGATCCCCGACGGTTATTCGAATAGTTCCAACGCCAACCGTCGGAGGTCGCTCCGGTAGCCAACTGTACTGGCATGGGTTTTCTCTGTGGTTTCCCCATCGCCACTATTCCAACAACCGATAGAAAGGGGTGAGGAATAGGGGGTGAATACAGTACAAAAAGCACAAGTCGGTCCACAGCCGCATTGAGAATAGAGGTTATGTGCAAAAAGGAGATGGCAATTATAAAAAAGCAGAGAACATGTTGATTATAAAAAGAGTTGAATGCAAAAAGAAACAAGTGTTAGTTAAAAGGGCCGAAAAAGCCAGGTATAACATTATGAATATTATATGATAACAAAAAGTGGCACTTGAGTGGTATTACTGTGGTAATAGCAAAAATGTGGAGAATATGGGTTACAGTCTTGTAAAAACTAAAATAGGTATACAAGTAAAAACGATATATATATATATATAATAATAATAAATTCACATTTTGTTAAATAAATAAAAAAAAATATTTGTTTTTTTCAATCACATTTTTTTCATTTTTTTTTCTGACAAAATTAAAAAATCGAATTTTTTCAGTAAAACTCTGGTTAAAAAAAATAAAAATCATTATTATGTTCTTAACAGGATATATTTTGTATTGATTTTTCAACTTCCTAAAAATATTTTTAAAATGTAAATTTTTTTTATACTGTAAAAAAGTGACAATTAGCTTTTTAAAATTTTTAAATAAATTTAAATTCCTAAATTATAAAAAAATTCTGAAAAATTGCACAGAATGAATTTAAAAATATTCTTAAGTGCATTTTCTAATATGATTACATTTCCATTGAGAAAAATTGCAAAAATTTTTAAAAATTGTTCAAAGTCTATCATATTATTTAATTTTTCGATTTTGAATAATAAATTTTTTTTTTTTTTCATCAAAACTTACTTTGTTTATTAAACAATGATTTTTTAATTACCCGTGCAAATAATTTGTTTAATATCATTATAAAATAATAAATGTCCATTCTTTATTAATCTGAAATTAAAACTGACATTTATTTATTCATTACTACTTAAGATAAAAACATTTTTTATTAATAAATATTTGCATTGGGCAATTTCAATATTAGAATTTTTCAATTAATTTTTTCATCATAGTATCGAGAGGAATATTACATTATTTTATGTTTAAACTTAATGAGTGAGGTTTCCGTCACTCGTATGTTAGCGCATACTCTCTGCTCGTTGCGCCAATTTTTACAAAAAATTTATCTTTTAACAAAAAAATTTTTTATTAATTCTTAACTAATATAGGAAAATGTGAACTTGACATTTTTTGATTCATTGAAGAATTCAAGGAGAACTAGCCATACCAAAAAAACAATTATTATAATTGCTAGCAAGTCGAATATTTTTGGCATAACAGAGTAAACTAGAATTTCAAAAGAATGTGCGCTGTTAAATTAAATAAAATTTTTTTTTGTCCATTATCCATTACATACATTAGAATGAATGCTTCTGTTGTATTATAAACCTCCGATACGGGTAGTATATAATACATAGATGTTATTAAGTGTAGTATAGAGTGTCTACTTCAACATGTAGGCGTTTAAGTGTGTGTGACTCACAAAAGTAATATTACAGTATATAAATATAATATATAATACAAACTACCACACACTAAACAGTAGTAACAAGCAATGAGCGCAAAACAAATTGAGACGGATAAGGCGACGAGAGAATATTATAAGTGGCCATAAGCTCTTGTGTTATGTGACTGAATATTGTGGTATTAATAAACAGCAATGTAATGCAATCCATATCTTGTTTGTTTATATTTAAATTCAATATTTAGCACTTAATATTCGATAAATCTGAAAAATCATCGTATCAATTGTAATTTGTTACTTGTGATTATATGTGCATATTTTTATAATTTTAATGGTAATTATATTTATAGATTTTAGATGTTTTTATGGCGGTTAAATTGCAACATTTTTGCAGCTGTCTGAATGTAGATACATTCAACTCTGTAAATTTAAATATTTTCCGCTGAGGGAACATACCCATAGGACGTTTCCGGTTGCAAAGGCCCTACACTAGTAAAAAGTTCCTGGAAGTGCAAAGCGGTCTCTTTTTAAAATGGTAATTGCTTCAATTTTTAAACAACACGGGCTAAATAAATTACTTTTTATAAAAATAAAAATAAAAATGGGTATTTTCGATTAAATGAACCGGTAAATTATTTTTTTTTCATTGTCAGAGGAAATTCAAACGCACCGCTTTTTAAACTTCTTGGAAGATTTTTTGTAAACAATAATTATAATAACAATAATTATAATGATTGATAATAATATAGATCAAGTGACATTTAAAAGACTTAATGTCACAAGAATTTCTTTTACTCTTATCCGTACAAATTGTTTAATTACCGCTTTTTAAATACGAGGGATAAATTAGTAGAGCTAATTGCATTTTTTCATTAACTCAAGAATTCATTATTTTAAATTTAAAATAATAATAACAATAATCCTTATAAAAATTTCAAATTATAAATGGGCTTTTTACTATTATTTTTTTTTTTTCTTTTTTAAGTTGAAATTCCAGATTAATGACTGAAGATACGAAAGTATGATCGGACTCATTTTTTGTAAAAAATTTAATTTTCTACAAAAAAAAGGTCATATCAATTTTTTGTGTATCTCTTACCATTCAACCGGATTTTCATTCTAGCATTGGACTTCAATTAGATCGAGTTTAAAAAGTTTAAAATCATAATTTTCTGATAATTATTAGAGATACAAAAAAAATGATAAGAAACTTTTTTTGTCGGAAATTTAATTTTCGATTAAATAAATCATGATCAATTTTTTCGTATCTCTTATCGTTAGGCTAGAATTTCATTCTAAAATGATTCTCTCGGTTCAAAATTTTTTTCTTTTTAAATTAATCAAATTATTATTATTTCAAAATTTTAAATTTTGATAGGAAATAATAATTTAGGTTAAATTAGATGAACTCATAGGATACAAAATTTTCTTTAAAATAAATACCCACAGGTCTAAATCGTTTTGAAAATATCAAATCGCAAAAAATCACGAACAATCTCCGAAAAACTGTGCAATTAAAAAATTAAGATATTGTTTTTTTACATTTTATTCTTATGATATCAATAAGGAATACTATAGGTACATTTTCAATAATGATTATAATAATGAATACGTTAGTTCCAAGTAGTTGATTAAAAGGCAAAAAAAAATGTTATCTTATCTTAAACAATTGCAAATAGAAAGACATGTGTTACTTTGATTAAAAAACCAAAAGACAATGGGATAGATATTACATTTTTATTGCGGGTCAAATAAATGACTAGTTAAAATATATTGGCTAGTTATTGAGGCCACGTTAACGAACTTGTACTTTATAATTTGTTAAAACCATTTTGATCAGAGTTTTAATAAAAAGACAATAAATAATCATAAAGTACATTTTAGATTATATTACTTATCTCCATGCATTTAGTACTTCCATAAATGAAATTTTTAAAGCAGAGATTAATGATGACACTAACAACTAACAACCGGAAATGCGAAGCTCTAAAATCTAATAACATGTGCTGTTAATACACAAATGAAGAACCAGCGGTAATAAATGCTGTTTGCGTGCAAGAAAATGGAGAATTTTAATTGCGGAAGGTGCGACGATAAAAATTTTACCTTTTATTTCATTAACCATGTGTGTAACTGAATTCACTTTTTGCTTGCGTGCTAATTCTTTTGTTGGGAGTCACTCACTCGAATTGAATCATTTTTATTTTTTTCATTTTTTTTTTTTGGTAATTTTTAATTTTGCTTCTTCGATTATATTTTCATTTCGATATTTTTTTTTATGTGTAAATGCATATGTGGTCATAAAGGTAAAAGTTTTTTATTCCACCAAAGTTTCTAAATTATTTTTTTTTATGGTTTAAAATTTTTATTAATTTATTTATTTATTCAGTGTTAATACCAAAATTTTTATTGCTCTAGTAGTTGATTTTTATGAAGATTTTGAGAAATATTTTTTCACATAAGTTTTATCGAAAATTAAAAGTTAAGTTTAATTATTATTATTACTATTATTATTGTTGTTATTCAAAAAATGTAGACGGATAAAAATAATAATAATAACATTGACTAATAGAAATTTTATTATTATTATCTAAATAATTCCTAATAAATATAAGAGAATTAAATAAAAATAAATGTACAAATATCTTTATTTTGATTTCTTTTTTTATTCCGCGGATTTGCGCAGTTTTTTGTTGGTTGATATTTTCAACGCAATTTTGTCATGTGAGTAATCATTTTAAAGGAAACTTTATGCTATCTAATCTTACCTTTCTTATAATTATCATAATAATAATAATGATAATTATTATTATTATTGTTTAGCAGTTTCAGATGTTTTAATAGCAAAAATAATAATATCTTTTCTACTTTTCTATGTCAAAAAAAAAAAAAAAAAAAAAAATAATGAATAAAAGAACTCACTCGTTCGACATGGTGAAAATTCAGTGGAAGTCGTAAAATTGGTAACCCAGCACGTGCCGACTGGATCGCGTCTATTTCCCACAATAGATTGTCTGGAACTATCTCCCAGATCCTTTTTCAGCTGGGACACAGAGAAGAATACGTATCTGGGTGCGCAAGCCTGTAAAATAAAACAAAAATCAAAATTATAAAATGCATGACTAATTAAAGGCCACATCAGCTAGCTCAGAATAATTTAATAATTTTGCAAATTTAACAATTTCCTCGGTGTTTGTATTGATTGAATCAGCGAATGCGTCAGCTCTGTTTTTAGACATTACGTTTCGCAAAACAAACAAATTAAAATATCCATATATACTATCCTCATAACTTAGTATATAAATTCTCTGATCCGACAAAAATACTGTTTGCCAGCCGTTATTTATTATAGAAAAAATATTTAAATAAAATGAATCAGTGGCGATTTAAATTTATGAGTTAATTTATTTTTATTACTTAAATCGTTTGAATTACGACCTTGGGTAGGATTTAATAGGTTTTATTTTATCATTATTAATATTAATGTGTACTAATATCACAATTGAAGTTAGGATGAAAGTTTTGATGGCTTAAAACCTTAAAAATATGACCAAATAATTTTTCTTTTAGTCCATAAAAAGTCTTCTTCTTATGATAAAATTTTTATTTATTGTTTATCGATTAATCACAAAAATTAAACTTGAATAGAATAAATGTGAAATCCATACAAACAAAAAATATATCTTGACGAAAGTAAATTTTTAGGAAAGTGACGAGTATCTTGATTTAAGTAAACTATTTTCTTGATACGGGAAATTTTCATAAATAATTTCAAATAGTTCAATAAAGTTAAATTATTCATCAAGAAATATTTATTTATTTTTCTATTTAAACATAAAATATTTCGGACTAACAAAATAAAATCTTTCGAAACAAAAGATACATTTAAACTCTCGAAGATGATGTTCTTGACTTTAAACAATTTGACAGCAGCGCCACCAAAAACTCCCAAACAAAATCACATATTACTAATATATCAACTGATTAAATTCAAGTACTTGAATGCAGTGTTAGCGAACTTGTGTCACTCATTTGTAAGAGCAAAGACCAATCAGAATCTGAGTTCAATCTCGGGTTAAATTTACATTATTTCAAGTTTAAAACAAAAATAAATATTATCAACCCAAAATAACATTAATATTATTGAGTTACGCATTTACTTCTTCAGCCCAGATAATTATTCATTAAAGTTTCACGTCCTCTACTTTTTAATTAAAATTTTTTTTACCTTAATTTAAGAATAAATCCTTTTCCAATCCAACTTTATTTTCTTAATTCAGCCTTTTTAATCCTATTAATAAAAAAAATTCTCAAATTAAGAAAAAGGATTTTTTAGTGGAAATTTTTAACCAAAATTTTCTGTGTCAAAATTTATAATTAAGTCGTAAAAAACTTCTTTGACCCAAAAGACCAAATCATTCTCGAAAAAAGCAATTAAAATAATATACCGAGAAATTAAAGCGCAAAATGTTGTTCCTGCAACATAATAGAGCGTATCAGTAACATCTGGACAATACTCGTGATGATCGCAGCTGTCCTGGCCGGTGGATGTCAAAGACGTCGAATAGATTTACCTCTTGACTGTATAGTAGCACGTAGCATGTACGATCATTCGAGACTACAGAGTCCAGACTAGCCCAGCTAATAAACATATACAGAAAGTTTATGGGCAAGCCAAGCTCACGCCATGTATACGATTATCGACGAGTCATCGATTCTATTCTCCAGCATATACACGCCAGCTGCAATCGATCAGCTATCATCAAGTGCAGACTATTTTATCCGACCCTCGCTTTCTCATTGAACGCCTTTGTTCTTAGTTTCCCCGCGGCAATTTAACATTTCTCTTTTCTTTATTCCTTTATATTTATCTTCTTCGGTTCGGTTCATTTTATCTTACTCTTTTCACTTGATCAACAATACAACTCAGCATTAAACATTAAATACATACACACAATATACTTTTGAGAGCCAAACTGTACAGCACTCGACCTTTACAGAATTACCATTAAAGGGTCCATGTCCATGTATCCTCACGTATATCGTATACGATGATTTAACTAATCTAGCGCAATGGATAAATTGGCGTACTTGCCTCCTCTATTGTTTCCAATTCACTTGGTTGTTTTTATTCTTTATTCTTCCTTAGCTCGTAAATATTTATCTTGCTGTTTAGTTCTCGACTATTTTATCGTGTCTTAACTATTCGAGATTTTTCAATGGCCAGTGTGTGGCTTGTATGATTTTTATTTATGGCATTTATCACTTCAGTAAAATGATAAGAGTTATTATTGAGGGCCGCGGGGTTCAAGGTCAATAAAAAATAACTCTTTTCAAAGTTAAATTCATATCAATTCATTGTTGTAATAAAATATTTAATTGTAAGATTAAAAATTCTTGACTGGTTGGATTCAGGACAAGTTTTTTAAAGAGAATATTTCTTTTTGATAGGAGATTATTTGTGTAATAAATGAAATATTTGTTTTTTAATCAGAATGATGTTTTTGAAAATTTTAATTAAAAAAACTCCGCCAGGTGGCTAATGTTCTCGCAGTTATAACGGCAAGGCCAAGGTATAAAGGTCTATATATAGAAAATATTCCGCGAAAGGTTCAGAGTTCGAATCTTAAACACAGTAGAATTTTTTTTTATTCTCAGCTTAAAAAAATTGGGGTGTTATAGTTTTGGGTTCGATTTTATAAAATAATTATTTATCAAATTTTGAATTTTTGAGGCCGTGTTTAACGTTTTTTTGTAGCCCGATATCTTTAGAACAAATTAACTGATTGAATCTATTAAGACTTGGATTTCATTTAATTTTGAAGTTAATTAATCGAACCGTTTTGGAAATATTCTAAAAAAATCACTGGATCAAGAACAATAATTGTAAAATTCTCTTGATTCATTAATTTTTATCGATATCTTTGAAATTAATTACCCGATTTGAATCTAGTTTGCAGTATCCGATTCAGTTTTTCAATCCTTACGCCACAATCAATTTTGGAATCAATCGGTCAAGTAGTTTATGAATAATGAAAACAAAATATTCAAAAAATAAGAATCGAAAAAAAATTTTTTTACGTTATTTCGAGATTACTTTTTAATTTTCAACCAATCGATCTAAGACCTTATAAGCACATTTTTATCTTGAAATACTGTATTGAATGTCATTTATAAAATAAAAATCAAACGACACATTCAAGCAATATCGCAGTTTAAATATATTCTACAAAGGGCTTTTTTAAAAAAGTTGTAAAATTTTTTAGCTCAGAATTATTAGTAAATTTTCGAGTGTTTTGACCTAAAAATTAGCTAAAAGCTTTAAAAAAGCCAGCAGGGTCAACCGTTTATGATTTCCAAAACTTTTAAAATAAAGCTCATGAATAATATTTATTTCGGAGAAAATAGGTGAGCTTCCGAAAAAAAAATATAAATACGCCGGTTGTATATTAATACACATTTAAAATTACGGAGCATACGGAGTTATTTCAGGGCGTGAATGAGGTCAGCTTATAGGTCGTGTGTGATCACCAAAACAAAACAAGCTGACGAATTTTAAATTGGGTTATTATTAACCTAAATCACTTCCGACGTGCATCTATTACAACAAACCTTCTTCTATAAGGCTCAGTACTAATAATAATAATAATAATAATAATAATAATAATAATAATAGTAATAGTTCAAATCAAAAATACATTATTAGATCTATTGGTCATCATATCGATAATCGAATACTAATTTTTATCTAGCGACCAAATAGAGATAAGGTGACAAAGCGAAAATAAATTTGACATGTATGTCATGAAGTTCCTTAGACTCATTATCATGATATATATTTAATATATAGTATATGAGCAACCGAACTAAACAGTTGACTCACCTTTTGCGGCTACTGAGTCACGGGATTATTTATAGGTAAATGGTCCTCGCGGGGGTATGTAATCGTTCTTATATATTATTCTTTGCATTAGTGATACGCCCAATACAAGAGACATTAAACTCCGGAGATTCGCTCCGGATATTTGATTTCATCCGCATTATATCCAACCATATATATATTTATATGTTTTATTGTATGGATAAACGTTGAACCTATCAATCAAGTTGTGAGTTCTGGTGTCCACACTTTTCCCCAGTGTCATAAATCAGCTATCGAAGGCGGATTGCCAACAGTTTTTGTTATTGTTTATCCTAATTTATTTTTATACTTTCATTGTTGGAGATTACTTAGAACCTCAAATGGTAACGTTACATTTACAGTCTGCTCAATCTCCAAGAATATAATAAATGGCAGTATTATATACTAACAACAATGATAGTAATAATAACAACAACAACAACTAAACTGGTATGGAATCAGCAGAGTATAAGTTGCGAAGTGGTGTAGAGTGAAAGAGGGCAGAGTTGCTGAGTAAAACAAAAAAAGTAAATCGTTTAGCAGGCGTCGCAATTTGTCCTCTGGACAAAACACAACCAAGGAATGCGTATTGTCCGGCTTTTTAACTTTCATCTCTTTCTATCTCCGCCATCTTTCTCTTCCACTTTCATCAACCTAATGATAGACAGAAGCTTTAAATTTGGTTCTTTTTGTAGGTTGGGACAAAATTTGAGCTTTTGTGTAATAAAAAATTTTGTTTTTTTGGGCATCCTTCAGCAATAAATTCAGAATTTAAATTAAAAAATAGTTTGGAAAATTCAAAAGTGCACGCCTCATAACGTTCATTTAATTTTTAATTAAAATTTAAAATTTTTCGCGCTATTTTAATCTTAAATGAGAAAAATAGGGCTTAAGCGCACCACTGAACAGATGATCGGTCGCCCATGCGTTGCTTAACAACCAGTCCCTACGATTGCAGCTCTATACTTTTCTTTTAGACAATGAAGAAATTTGAAAAAAACACTCTGGTGCGCAATAGATTTTTTAATTATCTACTTTGTAGCAGAGCGTTTTTTTCGAAACTCTCATTTGTTTAAAAGAAAATATAAAACTGCAACAGCTTCATAATCATAAAGGCAACAAGGATAGTACCATTTCTCGCTGTGAGTGCGACGCGAGAAAAAGAGGGGACCGGCTATGTA